TGACCCTGGGTGCTGTCCGTGTGGGCAGACGGCATGTCCTACTCATCTTTGAATCCCAAGAGCATCCTGCACAGGGCCTGGCGCCTATTTAATGGCTGTGACAGAAGATGCCAGCTTGAAAGAAGAGCATGGGTGGGGAGAGTTGGGTCATGGCTGCATCCCAGTGGGTTTTGTCTGTGTCGGGGCACAGTGCAGACATGGGGTGGGCAGCAGGGAGTGGCCGCTGACCTTGACCCTCCGATGGGACCTCTGCCAGATGCAGGACGGAAGGGCAGTGTCTGTCAGCCTAGCCAAATGGACAGGCTCCAGAAGCTTTGCACAGATTATGAGAGGAGCAAGGAGTTCCTTCCTGTCCCTGAAAGGCTTTTCAAGGCCCTCCTCCAGGATGAGAAGGGAGAGCCTTGGGGCCTGGCTTCTTTATAGAACCGGCTTGCTTTCAGCAGTGACACTCCCCAGAATCTAGAGTGCTGCGTTGTTGGGTAAAGGGACAGCTGAGCAACATGGGCAGGCTTGAGCTCCATCCCCTGCCCAAACACACAGTTTCTGGGACCTGTCTTCCCTTCGTTGATTTTCTCAGCTCACCAGTCCCTAACCTCCTCCTTTTTAATATGTTGCCCATGTTTGTTCTCCTTTTCTTCTCTTTCTCCCTCTGACCTCCCTCTCCTTGTTCCCAAGAGTTATATACACGTCTTAAAGCCCAGTCCTTTGATTTCTTGGGGGCAGGAGGGGAAGAGATGCCCAGGCCAGAACCTTGGACAGCCACCCTGTCATCTGGCAGGTAGATTGTCCTGGGAGAGAGGATAGGAATCTTGGAGATGTAAGGAGTTGAGAGAGGGATTCTCTGGAGGTTCAGTGGAAAAGAAATGTGAATCTCAATACTCCTCGAACCTCTACTCGTGGAGTTACCCCCTTTACATCAGGAGGGACCAGTCACGTGACATTGATGCTTTACAGAACAGCATGGCCCTTCCAGTCAGAACTTACCAATGGGTCGCATCTCCTAGTCACAATCACCTGTGCAACATCCATTTGTCCTCACGTTGAGAGACACAGATTACTGTAGGGACTTGCTATTGAAATAATACACCCTCATCTGCTACTTCAGTTCATTTGGATGTCAGACACCAAAGAGTATGATAAAGTTGCTACTTCTGCACTGAGGCTGCTGCTTTAGTATCCAGATGGTCCTTGTCATCTTTTAGGTTTGAGATTTTCAGTGGGATTCCTGGGTTTGCCAGGACCGTCTCCTAGTTTTCCATAGACCCGACAGATGACCTAGCGGCTAAGTGGTTTGTCCTCTTGGATTTGGAGCCAGTGGGGGAGGCTCTCTGTGCAGGATTCTGAAGCAAAGGACAGCGTGGGTTTATGCCCATCATTGGGGCCAGCAGAAGAGGAGAGTACTGCTGTGTGATATTAACACTTTGGTGGGTGGCTTATTTCTTATTTTAAATAAAATAACAATCCTCCTTTAGGGGCTGTTAACTCATCACAGGTTCTTAGAGAACCTGAAAAAGTGTCAGATTATACTGGTATTTATGTTTTACTTTTTTTCCTTTTGCTATAGAAGTCAAATACACTTATTAAACCTACTTTTAGCCAGGCAATTCAAAACCAAGATAGCTATAACTAACCGAGGGTTTGCAACCTACAGAACCACTTAACCAGGGAACACTAGGTAAAGGGGACTTCATTTGTTTGAGGTGAGTCCCCCATTTTTAGCTGGTTTTATGTTTTCTTAAGATATTTTGGCGACTTTATCACGCACACGTACACATGCACATACACGAGACGAGATTTGGCATAGGGTCTGAATCTGGGTGGACCTCCTGGGTCAGGGATTCTGAATGGTGCATTCCTGTCACCCCCCACTTCTGGATGGACTCCATCAGGGGTAAATAGTTTGGGATGTGGGCCCTAGATTTGCTGTCATGGCTCACTGAGTGTGCACCTCTGTTCCCCAACAGAGCACCTCTCCGTGCTGGCATGATGACAGTGTGCAGGCCGGCCAAGGGCAGCCACAGCCAGACTGAAAACCTGAGCTACGAACTGGCTGGCAAGTAAGAACTTTTCTCCCCCGAGAGTGAAGACGTTGTCCCAGATGCTCAGTCTCCTCCCTTTCTCTCCTGCCTTTCCCTCCTCACTAACCCCACTTCCCTGAGCTAAGGACGTGTCCTCCGGGTCGTCGTGATGCGCCTGCTGTGAACCATCCCCAGGAGCCGCTCGGTTAAGAACCCAAGGCCACAGTGAGCAAGGGGAGGTCTGACTGGTGCCCAGTGTGTGGAGGGGGTGATCTCAGGGCCACTTTGGGACCCCTATTTATGCATTCCAGTCCAGGGGTTATTTTCCTAACTACTAAGATGTGGAGGTTTTTTAAATTATCAGAGAGCCCTAAATCTTCGCAGCTGCATCTGTCCACATAGCCAGCTTTACCCATCTCTTATTAGCAGAGTTGTTTTCTCCCCATACGTTTTCCTCTGACACTCTCTCACACATTCTGCAAAGGAGCTGGCGACCACTGAGCTGTTCACAGCTATGCGCCCCAGTCCAGAGCCCCTTCTGAGGCCAGAGAAGTCTGGAAACAGGAGCTTAAGACATTTTGGGGTACAGCAACATGTGGAGAAGGTACTCTACCTTGGTTTCACCATCCTTGCCGCTCTTGCTTGAGCTTTGTCAGTCCAGTGTGGTGTTCCAGTAAGCCATCCTTTTTCCCTCTTCGGTTTTTAGATAGTGATTGTGAAGAGATTGTGAAGTCACACCAGATATTTGTGACCTTAGGCAATAACTATAATCATTACAGTAACACCAGTTACCACTTACCAGTATCAAGACTTATGATGTATGCTGTATTCTGGGCACACTACATATATTAACTCATTCATTCATTTATTTAATAAATATGACTTCCTATTATGTACTAGACACAGAAAACAAGATAAATTAGGCCTCTGCAATCCTAAAGTTCCAGTGCAGAGGAAAGAGACAGGGATCTTATTTTAAGATGGAAAAAAATGAAGCCAAGATTCAAACCCAGGTTTCTCTGATGCTCTATGATTATGTATTGTATCATCATTTGTCACTTAGCATGCACTAACCTGAACTGTTTTTATGTGTCCTATCTCTTCATCTTCTAATATCATTAAAGTAAGGGCTTTTGAACTCAGTAGAATATCAACAAACTGATTCTGATTCTGATTCTGACTAAAATCTGAATTCATACTAATGTCTCAGTGGTGACAGGAAAATTAAAAGATGTGTTTCTTTTCTGTAAGTACTCTGTTATGAAAGCTAATTGTTTATTTAAATAAGGAATTCTGCTTTGGTAGCCATATTTAATGTATGAAAATGTGTTTTTAATTTCACAAGTTTCTAATTTATGCTGAGCAACCAAGAACAGCAAAACAATTTACATTTGGAATAGAAAGCTAAATGTAACAGAGCGCGTGAAATTGCTAATTATTCATCTCTCGTGTAAACCTTAACTGGAGTTTCAGAATTCCTATATAGTCAGATAAGTGTACACATTCAGAAAATGTGCACCGCGAAGTTGGTCCATGCATGTTTGCTCATCATGGCACGTCTAAGATTACTGTGTTCAGCCATGACCTGTGCTAGTGGAAGAAAGTTTTACATTTCAAAACAGATATTCTCATTCTCATTAGACTAGCTTAATCATGTTTTTTTTGTTTTTCTTTCAAAATAAATTTTAACATCTTCATGGTACGAACTGACCTCCTGAAATCACATTCCGAGGCATATATCCCCACATGTACATTCTAGGCCAGAACTTTCTGCAGCGATGGAAATGTTCTGCTCCATTCAGTACAGTAACCGTTAGCCACATGTGGCTACTGAGTACTGAGTGCGGCTGGTGCAGCTGAGGGACTAAAGCTTTAATTTAATTCGATTTCAGTTTAAATAGCCACGTGTGGCTAGTGGCCGCTGTATTGGACAGCACAGTTCTGTACACAAGTGAAATTTGGATCTGCCTGTTGATTCACTCACTTGTTTATGCAACAAGATTTTCTCTGCCAGGTGTTGTTCCGGGTGCTAGGGAGGCAGCAGTAGCCAAAGCAGGCCAAATTCAAAACAAAACCAAACAGTCCCTGTCCTCATGGAGAGGCCCGTCCCGTAGGGCTCACGCTCTGGAGGAAGTTCAGTCCAAATGCATTCAATCACTGTGTCTTTACTCATTCAGATCAGGACAACTTTTCAAGCCCAGAATTAGTGAAACTTGATGACGTATGGCGTTGATTTGATTTTTAAATAGTACTTATAAAGGCCCATCGGTTGATTATAGAAGCAAAGGAAACTTAGACGATATAATCTATTATCTCATGACATTTCAACAGGGAAAAAACAACTAATAATAGTGATGATGACCACTTCAAATCTATCCTTTGGGAAAAGTTTCTTTTCTTTTCGTGACATGCTAGATGCTTCATGTGAGCTGGCTCATTAAATGTTTACAGTCATCACATTGTTACATATGTATTATTCTCATTTCACAGATGAGGAAACTGAGACACAGAGGAGTTCAGCAACTTACCCAAGGTCACACAGCTGGTCAGTGGTTGAGTTAGAATTTAAACCCAGGTCTGCTGGACTCCAAAATCCAATAGCTCCTTTCATTCCACCATACTATCTCCCCAAGAAAAATATTTCATGATTTTTTTTTAAATGGTAGTTTCAATGTTTGTGATTTGCAATTAGAATATAACATTTATATTAAGTTCTAGCAAATCTCTATGCCCAGCCAAGAATAATAGCCAAGAATCCCTCACCCAGTATTTGTCTTTCTTGTTCAGGGTCAAGGTAGAAGGTCCAAAGGCTGGGGAAGACCCTGGAAGGCAGCCACTTAGGTCCTCCATTCCTTTCCTAGAGACTGGTCAGGATTCGCCCTTCCGAAGAAGCCCGCTGGAAAGCCTCAGTAACCTGGTGCTGGAGTCAAGAGCAGACGGTTTCCAGCAGAACATGTTCAGCTCTAATATGATCATCAGCGACCCAGCTTCAGATCTCAGCGCTAAAGAAGCCAGCGGGGCAGGCAGGAGGCAGCTGGGCGGTGTTCAGAACCCCTGCTTTCCTGCCCGAGACAGGGCCCAGCACAAGTCCCTCAGCATAAAGGACAAGATATCAGAATGGGAAGGGAAAAAGGAGCTGTCCACTCCTGCACCTGGCAGGAAGGCAGATGGGCAAGAGGAGTACCTGGCCTCCTGTGTGATGGAGAAGAGAAGTGATGGAGTGAGGGCTCATAATGGAACGAAGCTGGACGCAGACAGCAAAGAGAATGAGAGGAATAAAAGGGTAGTGGGAGTTGGGGGACCAGATGCGGAGCAGAGGCCAGACCTAAGCCAGCCATCCAGGGAGCTGGCTCCCAGCTCGGGCAGAGACCGAGAGCCGAGGCCCGGCAAACAGCGCTTCCAGAACGACAGCCTCTCTGTGCTGAAGCAGGTCAGGAAGCTGGAGCAGGCTCTAAAGGACGGGTCGGCTGGCTTGGATCCCCAGCTACCAGGGACGTGTTACTCCCCACACTGCCTGCCAGACAAGGCCGAGGCGGGGCCCGCCCTCACTGAGAACCGTGGGGGTGGGAGGGGCTCAGAATGCAGGTCCCAGCACGTGGACCTGGCCCCGGAGCCAGCCCCCGAGGCTGTGGAGGGAAGGAGAGGCTCCTGCGGGAGGCCCTGGGACCACAGCCCGGAGAGTGTGTACAGGGGCCACCCACCAAAACCTTTCATCAACCCGCTGCCCAAACCCCGGAGAACGTTCAAACATGATGGAGAAGGGGACAAGGATGGGAACCCAGGCATCTGCGTCAGGAAGGACAGGAGGAACCTGCCCCCTCTGCCCTCTCTACCTCCCCCGCCCCTGCCCTCGTCTCCCCCTCCTTCCTCTGTGAACAGAAGACTGTGGAACGGGAGACCGAGACCCAGCACGGACCACAGGTAGGCCACGGCGACTGCCTGCGTAGTTTCTGCCACGTCGCAGCTGTCTGTCCTCAGCTTATTTGTTCGTTTTTAGTAAACCGATGGAGCTTGTAGTTAATCAAGACGATTCATGGCTTAAGATAGTTTATCGATGAAACCTAGAAACATGATAACTGATGCGCATGTTTTGTGTTTGTCCTCTGTCCTCAGAAAAGAATATTTGCTTTGAAAAATTACCCTTCGAGTATGATAAGTTCTTGTCATTCAGATAGTGAATCAAGAATTAAACGAAAACTTGTTTTAACACCGGCAGTCTACTAATTGGTGCTAATTGATATTCATTCTGGGACTACCATCCGTGGTAGTGCATGGTGCTTTGAATCTTTCCTGGCTCTTTTTTTCATATATGTCATTGGTATGGGCTCAGAAACACACTGCCTGGGTCTACCTTGGCCCTATTACAGTCTGTCTACGTGACCTTGAACAAGTTACTTAACCTCTTGAAGCTTCTGTTTCCTCATTTATACCTATAGATGCACACTGCCTGTTTTATAAACGTAAAAGAATAGATTAGCTAAGAAAGCATGTGAATGCTTGAAAATAAAATCTATCCTTTGGAAAAAGTTTCTTTTCTGCTTTGAAACCTAATTTCTAGTCCATTTTTGTAATGTGCCAGTTGGTTTATACCCACTAATGTGGAAACCCACTTTAGAGCAAAACTCCTCAAAAGAGTTGTCTATACTTACTGTCATCATTTCTTCACCCGTTTTTTTTCCTGATCTTCTGCAGTTGACCTCGTGCCACTTACCCTGAAGTTGCTCTTGACTAAAGCCACCAATGACCTCCATCTTGCCATACGGAATGTATACTTAATTTATACCAGTCTCCAGTTCTGTTCTTTTCTTAATTGACCTCTCTTGGCATTGGAGGAACAACTGACTCATGCCACCTTGAAACACTGTGCTCACCTGGCTTCTAGGTCACCCGCTTTCCTGGTAGTCCTGCTTCGCTGGCTGCGCCTTCTCAGCTTCATTTTCCTCCCCTCTCCCTTTACGTGTCAGAATAACACCCGGCCACCCCCCATACCCCCACTTACAACTCATCCACACCTCGTCCTGGGATCAGAACAGGAACTTCTCTCCTTCGTCTACACTCATTCCCTGTATGATCTCATCTAGTCCCACGACTTTAAATGTCAGTCACACACTTATGATTCCCAAATGTGCACCTCCAGTCCCGACCCCCTCCAGACTGGGTCTCCAGACTGGGTCTCCATCTGGTTCCCTAGTGGTTGGGACCTATCATGTCCAAACCTAAATTCTCAATCCAGGCCACCGCTAACCATCTCCTCACAAAATAATTGCTGTCTTGTCAAATGGCATCTCCCTTCGTTTTGCTTAGGCCAAAGACCTAGGGGCCATCTCCGAGCTCTTTTTCACACACCCCCATCTAATTCATCAGGAAGCCCTTGGCTACAGTTTTAAATGTTATCTTGAATTTCACTCCATCTCTTCCATTGCTATCATCTTAGTTATCTTGGATCCATCCAGTATTTTCCTTTCTCAGCAGCCAGACGAATCTTCTAGAAATATGAATTAGAGCATGCCACTCCCAACTCACCGTGGTCTATTAGGTAGGATTCTTTTGACTAGGGTATCTATTTAGGGTATCTATTTCTTTTCCAATACCAAACTGTTTTCATTATTTTAACCTCATAATATGTTTTGATATCTAGTAGAGCTTACAAAAATTTTTTATTGTCGGTAATAATCAGTCAGTTGGTTCTCTTGGACATCCTACATATACTATCATGTCATGAAAAAAATTACCATTTGGTCTCCTTTTTAATAATTATAAACCAATTTTTTCTTTATTCTCTTTTTTCAAAAATGTCTTAACTATTCTTACATGTACTTTCCTAAATGTTCTATATATCACTAGCAAATTTCACCACACAAAATATGTATTAGTTTTTTAAATTGGAATTCTGTGTATTTGCTAAGTTTTTATATTTTGTTGCCATTGTTAATGCAATCTTTTTTCTCATTATATGATTTTCACATTTAAGAAGACTATTAGTTTTTGTACATTGATCTTTTAAAAAACACCTTAAAGAAATTTCTTATTGTTCCTGATAGATCGTCTGTTGATTTTCTTGAACTTTCTATATGTAATCATATTGCCTGGAAAGAATTACCATTTTACTTTTTTCTTTTTAATTTATACCTTCAAATTCCTTTTCTTTTCTTACTGAATTGCACTGGATAGTCCTTTCAGAACAGGATTAAATAATAATGCTGACAGGAGTGGGGAGCCTTATCTTACCCCTAACCTTACCGATAATGTTTCTAGTGTCCCACTCGTAAGTACTCTTATTCGAGATATGTTTTTATGTCATCAAGGTAGTATTCATTTCTATTTCTTATTTTACTAAGAGTTTTAAAATTTGATGTTAGATTTTGTCAAATTACTTTTTGGCAACTTTATACAATCATATGGTTCTTCTCCTTTGACCTCTTAATAGCGAATTTATATTTTACTATTAACCCATCCATACATTTCTGGGATGAACTCGCATTTGGTCCTGGTTTATTATTCTTTTAAGGTACTACTAAATACTATTTGCTTATGTATAAGATTTTTGTCTCCATATTCCATAAATGGGACTGGTCTAAACTTGGTATTTATGGAACTACCTTTATCAGGCTTCGGTATCGGTGAGATCTATAGAAGAATTTAGAGAATTCCTTCTTTCTGTTCTGAGAACATTTGACTCCATCTCCAGCTCTACATCCTTTCCCAAACAGGTGCCAAGCCCAGAGCCCCAAGTACTCTGGTGACTTTCTGCTGCTGTCCCCAGTGCTTCCTAGCAGCAGCTCTTCACGCCCTTTCTGGGCTGTGCCTCCCAAGAGGTCCGCTTTCTGGGAAATTGGAGCATTCCACCTGTGTCCTCCCTGGGCAGACAGATCGACCTGGTGAACAGTTGTTCCCATCATCTTCTCTCTCTCAGCGACCATCTGCTCTTTTCAGTCTCCCAGCCTTTTCTTTAAAACTAGCTAAAGTTACTTAGTTTCAGCCCAAAGATGAAATTTTTCTTGGCCAGTTCAGATATGGTTGCATCAGCTGTGTTTTAAAGAATTTTGGCTTTGAATTTTTTTGTTTTGTTTAAAATAGTACAGTGGGGGTGATTAGGGCAAGATGTTCACTTTCTGCTCTTAAAAATTAAAGTATGCTCTTTATTGTGGTCCTATCTCGAAAAAAAGAAAAGGCTCAACTCTGAATTTGGCAGACTTACTGCCATCTCTGAGGCAGGAAAGCCAAGCCAAGATCGAAGAAAGAAATGATTAAGGATTTTGAGGTTATGAGGGTTTAGAATTACACAGCCGGGCTGTGCGCGTTGGAGAACGTTTCCAGCTTATTTTCATAGGCCAGTTAGTTCACCTCAGCAACGGCCAAACCAATGAGTTCAGATGCTCAGATTGAGAAAATGTGTTTTTCTCTTCTTTCTCTCTTCTTATTTTTCCCTTTCCTTTTCTTCTCTTTCCTCTTTTCTCTCTCCTTTCTCCTTTTCTCTTTCCTTTCTTTCTTCATTTCTCTAAAGCTCCAGGAAATTAAATGCAAGAACTTACTGCCTTCGATCCTAAAATGGAAAATGAGAAACCCTCAAATGTCAGGAAATTCCAAAGATAAGGTTCCTACAGCAGCATTAACTTGGTCGTGTATGTTTTATGGCATACAT